ATCCAATATCTTGTAATAACCTTTAATGAAAAAGAATATGAAAAATGAATATGTGTGTATATATATATACATATGTATATATGCATGACTCAACATTATGCTGTACACCAGAAATTTACTCTGACTATATCAATAAAATTTTTTTTTAAAAAAAGAAAGGAATGCAGGAACGGTTCCATATTAGAAAAATCCATCAAGGTATTTTGCTAAATGAATAAAGGTAAAAATTACACACAGAAAAATAAACATTTAGTAACATTCATCTTTTATTTAATGTGAGGAGAGGGGAAACTTAATAGTTTTCAAATGTCTTTAACTTGATGTTTAAGACTGCTCTCCAGAATGGATGTACAGTTCAACGTTTATTGCAATACTGTGTTACGGTTTTTATGTCCCTACATCACCACCACCACTTGGCATTATCCAGTTTTCTAATTTTTGCCAGTCTTAGGGCTGTAAAGTGATGGCTCTTAAGGAAAAAAAAAATCATGATTGCTAATGAGTTGAACATCTCTTCATGTATGTTTCCCTTTTGGGTTTCCTCTTCTATGAACTACCTATTCATTATTCTCTGTTCAGTTTTCTTTACAATTCAGCAGTGTTTTTCTACGTTCTAGGTATAAATAAATCCTTCGGTGGTTTTACATATTGCAAGTATCTTCTCTGAGCCTGTTATTTGTCATCCTTTATTGACAGATATAATTACTAAATACTTAATAGTTTCCTTTCCTACTGTGAATAGTATCTTTTCCTTTTTTATTACATTATCTAATTGGCTATTGCTCTTGTAGAAAAATCCTTGAAGTTTTCATAAACTTAAAGCTAGCAGCCTTACACTTATTTTTAACTGTTTGTTGTTTCTCTTGGCTTTTTTATATAGTTGTTCCTGAACATCTGAAAACAATGACTTAAAAATAAAGAGTTTTATTTCTCATTTGCCAATATGGATAATCTGTTACTTTTTCTTTCCTTACAGACTGGATTAGAGCATGCAGTTCTAAATTAGTAGCATGATACTGGGCACAGTAGGACTATGAGTTAGGACCCTGGGTTGACTACTTTGATGGAGACTGAATAACAATGGCTTCAGTAAGATGGAAGGTTTCTCTTTTTCATGTGACAGTCTGAGCTAGTAGGCAGTTCAGGAGATAAGTGGCTACCCCAAGAGGTTAATGTGTTTTTGTTACATAACCCTCACAGACAGAACTGGTTTGCCATGACCACTTTCACATTCTGACCTACAGCAAAGGGGAAATTAGAAGCCCTTTGAAGGATGTGGCCTGGTAATTACAACCTACTTCTGTTTCCATCCTACTGGTCAAAACTTAGTCAGCTGTCTATGTTGCAAAATAGCCTGGAAAATAGTTTCAAACCAGCAAGCTACTGCCTAGTCAAAATGTGGGGGCCGGGGGTTCTGTAGAGAAAGAAGTGAGGAGATGTACAGAGTGTGCAGTTGTCTTGTTCCTATGTGATGGTATGTAACCATTAATAAAATCTGCACGACTAAGGGTTTCTCCAATTAAAAAAAGATAAACTATAACACGTGGTCTTCTTGTATCCCTTGATATAATGTATATTACTTCTTCCCTTTCTCAATGTAGTTAAGTATAGCAAAGGATTTTTGTAATGCTGATTACCATTCATATGAATAAACACATGAGTGAAGAACTTATGATTTATTATATATAGTATTTAGTTATTCTAAATATTTGATTCAAATATATAGAATTGATGATGTAGGATACTATGTTTTGCAGAATTTGAAGCACTGAACTTAGTGAAAATTCAGGCTGTAGTGGACGAATTAACATTTATTTAAAATCTTAATACATGCCTAGCAATTTGCATGTTATAGTAAAAATACTTAACATTTGAAAACCTACCATGTGCCACACACAACTTATAAAAGAGTTGTTGTTATTTCCACTTTATGAGAAAACTGAGGCACAGAGAGGTTAAGTAACTCACCTAAAGCTATACAACCAGTAGGTGGAAAAGACCAAGCTCCGAAGCTTCCGATCTTCCTACTGTTTCACAGTGCCTCCCGATGATCAATTTTTCGGTGATGATAATTAAGTATGATGATGACAGACAAGACGAACCAGGGTATTACTGCTTAATTCTTTCATAATGTGTCAACTCAGAACCATAGGGAACTTTTCTATTTGAATGAAAAATTAAAATTTGAATTTAATAGAAAAACTGGGATTCATTTACAGAATTTCATTTAACTTAGAACTTTTTGGAACATTCCTACTTTACAAAGTTAGGAATGCCACAGGGCAGAAACAGACAGAAACAGTCTGTGTGAAACATGAAGGTACATTCACACAGCACCAGGACAGCTCTGGAGTCTGAGGGAAATTGGCCTCACACTCCCAGGTTGAATCC